TAGAGGAGGTGACATTTGAATGGGGCCGTAAAGGATGGATGAAATGTCCACCTATGCAAAAAGAGAAAGTGCATGAGCGAACTTGTCGAGGTGAGAGTTTAACACAAAGCAAAAATACAGTAAATGTTTAACCATGTACTATGGGAGAGGCACCCTGAGAGGCACTGGATTGCCAGAGGGCTACTGCATTCGGGAGGGGGTAGGGTTCTAGACTGGTTGTCAAACAAATTCTGTAAGCGGGGCTGTCGAGTCACTCCGCCATTCCTGCTGCTTTTTCCCCTGACTGCTCACTCGAAGGAGAGTCGTTGGGAAATGTCTCCCTGGGAAGAACGTGGACCACAGCATACCACTGCCATCACTTAGGGTCCTGGAGACAGAGCCTTGAGCATGCGGGCCTGGCTGGAGTGGGGCTGGCATGGCCAACTCACGGCCCGCAGCACCCCTGAGGCCAAAGGAGAGGACAGAGCGGAGCCTCCTAGCAAGATCCTTCCCAGAGGTAAATCCTTTCTGTTCGGGGTTTTTTTTCCAAGGGCTCAGGCATCCAATTCCACATTCATCCTTTTCCTCTGGCTTTTCTTTTCATGACTTTGGAGAGCAGTCTTCCTTATCTAGGAAAACAAATGGCCTCCACGGAGAGCTCAAAACAGCAAAGTCATTTATCTGTCTGACATGTTTCCCTGTTTGTTTTCTCCAGCCTTGAGACAAGAGTTGTGTCAACTGTGGATGGCTGTGCCCCAGTCACTTGAGAGGCATGAATCAATTTCCAGCTGCATTTATCACTTGCTGCCTTAAATCAAGTCTAATCAATGCCTCCTTCATTTGGTATGGATTGCAACTATATATAATGCACTCGGAGAACAGCCGGGAAAGAGAGCAGATCACAAACAGGAACGCCGTCGGGGATTCAGACGGAATGATGTTAAGGAAACATTTGCAGTTTTTGACTCGCTTTAATGGAGATGCCTGACCAAACAGATTTGTTTATGAAGTTTCACTTCAATCCACCTGACATGCAGCATCATTACATGACCGATCAGTTGATTCGAGGGGACTTTTGCATATTCAAGTATTTTGTAACACATTTTGAAGGTTCGGTATACTTTTGAGTAAGGTTTAATTCCTACATTGTCTTTAACTCATTTCTATTTCCTTTTAGAGGTATCTTTGTCACCACTGACTACATAGGGCAATTTCTAGTTATAAGATAATAAAAATCTCTTTGTAACAAAATAGATATCCAGGGGCCCCTCTAATAAAAACAATTTTTTATGAAGTCTTACAGCGGAGAAAACTTGACCCTCTCTCTCCTTCCTGAAGTTCTTCGTCATGGAATTTGATCCCTACAACCAAAGTGGATTTTCCACCAGCAGGTGTGAAAACAGCCACCCTGCTGCTCAACCAACTCAGAAAGTGGTAGGGAGCAGCCCTGTCTCATTTGTAAATTAATCCTGTGCCAGTGACAGATGATATGGGCAGAGTTACTGGCACCTAAAACACCATGCCCACGGCAAGACCCTGGATTATTCTTCAAGGATAATGGGAGAGGAGAGACAGAACGCAGAAAAACAGGTCAATGATAATGCAAACCCAGAAGATGAGGCAGTGCTGTGATTCATGGACATAATTAATATTTCTCTCTAATCTGCTGAACTGTGTAGACTTTTACCACCGGCATGCCTCTGGAGCGATTAACAGGGCTGACTCATTTTCACAGTGCCGGCCCCCCCAGTGACATGTTGGCAGGTAGCTGAACAGAGCCCTGTTCAGCTCTGGGAAGTCAGAGAAGAGTAATAAACCCTCATGTTGGTTTAATACTTTACAGTTCATCGAGTGTTTTGAACATACTGTCTCATCACCCTTTAAGATAAGCAGGAAAATAGCTCTATTCCCAGATTCAAAAGGAAAGAGGTGGTTCGGAGGTGGATGTACCCCCTTGTGGGCTGGTCACCCTTGAGCTCTAGCTCTGGAACTCACCTCCTCACCTCATCAACCCCAAAGCCTTAGTTGCTTCTACTGAGCTCCGACCAGTGGCTGAGGTCCTCTCCTGCTCTTTCCCCAACAAATTTGTTTCTCCCATCACCCAGGGTTCTTGGGAAACTCATATGGTTACAGGAGATCCCTAGAGTTGCATGGCAGGTTGTCAAGTTAAAAAAAAAAAAAATCAAATAAAAGGCAGCACCTTTGGACTTGTTTTGGGTTACAGACGTGGTGTAGTGTTCTTAACTCATCTTAAACAAAGACAGGGTAATGTGATATCACAAAGCTTTAACCCTCTGTGAACACAGGTAAAAAAAACACGGCAGACACGGAGTCGAAAATTAAGGCGCCCACTCGTATCATCTTTGATACTCAGGAGAGTTGTTTAATGAGCTCCTCTGCTCTGAGGATGTCCGGGAAGATGTTTGCTCATTCTTTGAGAAAGAGAGTAACAGGTTTTTCTACCCATGGCAAACTTCACAGAAGTAGATCCTGTGTAGATAACTAAGTAAGGACAGAGTTGGTAGAAGAAGAATTTCCATGGCTTTAAACCTTTAGACAAAAGTGGCTCTGCTCAACTTGATGTCAGTAGAAGTAAACGAGGGGAGTAACAGTGCATTTTCCCAAACTGGCTTCAGGTAATGTGCCACCGAGAAGAAACGCATTTTCAATGGTCACAGGGATTTTGAAGCTCTCCAGGGAGCCCGAGGAAAGTCTTGAACACGTTCCGACAAAGCTGCTCAAGTGTTCAGGAGTTAACATGTGGGTCAAATGGCACAGTCACCGCAACTATCCTGTTAATACAAACTGAAATTTATATTGGAAATACAAATACTCGCAACCTATATAAACCTAGAGTAAAAAGGAGCAGACCCTTTCTTGAAATAAAAATGCTACTGAGATTAATACAGATCAGATTTCATTTCATTTCCCCCCTAGAGCAAATTGATTTATTTCATTTGTTCATTCATTCAGCAAATATTTATGGAGCAATGAGAATATGGGCACTGATGATTCAGTGGTAACCAGACACGACACAGAACCCGCTCCCCGGGAGCTTACACTCAAGTGGGAAAATTCACATTGAAAACATTAATGGAGACTTACACTTCCAATCAAGATGGAGTAATAAACACCAGATTTACTCTCCCACCCAACATAACCAAAGAAGAAAAACAGGAATAGTACATGTAACAATCGTTTTCAAGACACTGGATGTCAGGCAATGAGAGACAGTGATCCTGAGGGATAAGAAACCAACCCAGTGAGCTGCGTTATCGAGCTGACACCATCCAGGCTGCATGAGTAGGGACTCCAGCAGACTCCCGAGGTGAGGAGACAGAGCTGAGGATGAGCAGGGACCGAGGCAGCCAGCATTTGCAAGACAGAGGACCAGAGAAGAGATAGTGGCAGAGAAGGCCAGATATCTGGAGAGGGCCCCTCTAATACTCACAAGAGTACTTATTGCCAAGACCGTGTCATCCTGGAAAACCACCATCTGAAAGCATTAGAGGGAGCAGTGCTCAGCATTCACCCAGGTGCCTATTTCCATCACCCAGACTGGAAAATCTGTAGTTCCAGGGGCATGCGAAAATCTTTCCTTCATACCGGGCAATAGCTCATCCTAGACTGAACACTGTTCCAGACCTGCCTAACAAATTACACAAGCAAGACGTGCAAAGATCAAACTATTTTCGAGTAACTTAACTGCATCCCCAAAGCTGAAGAAGATAAGGCTACATATTCAGCAAGGTGAAATTTACAATGTGTGGCACCCAATTGAAGGTTACAAGGTGTGCAAAGATGACTCATAATGAGGATCTGTATCCAGAATTTATAAAGAACTCTCAAAAGTCAAAAATAAGAAAGCAAGCAACCCAGCTTTAAAAAAAAAAAAGGCAAGAGATTTGAACAGACACTTCACCAAAGATTTGTGGATGACAAATAAGCATCTGAAAAGAGGCTCACCAACAGAAGTCTTAAAAAAATGAAAATTAAAACCACTGTGAGATACCACCTCACTCCTATTAAAATGATAAAAATGGTAAAAACAGAGCACACTCAGTGATGACAAGAATGTGCAGGACCTGGAGGTCTACTTTACCGGTGGACACGTGAACTGGTACCGCCATGTTGGGACACAGTCTGTTAAACATACACCTACCATACAGCTCAGCCATTCCACCACTGGATATTTACCTAAGAGAAATGCAGCACGCGTATGTCCGCACAAAGACTTGTACACAAATGTTTGTAACGGTTTTATTTGTAACAGCCAAAAGCTGGAAACAACCCAAATGTCCATCAGTAGGTGAATGGAAAAATCTATCCAATGAAATACTACTCAGATGCGGGAAAAAACAAAAACCTTTTTAAAAAATGCCTCTTGAATACATGCTACATCGACAAATCTGAAAATAATTATACTGAGTGAAATAAGCCTAATTTTTACAAGAGTACATATTACTATAATTCAATTTACGTTAAATCCTAGGAGATGCAAACTAACGTTCAGTGTCAGAGCAAATCAGTGCTTGCCGGGGAACGGAGGGGTGGGTGGCACGAGGCGGGCAGGGAGAGGGGTAACAGAGCGGACAAGGGCACTTGGGAATGACGGGTAAGGTAGAGAATCTTGGCTGCAGCGATGATTCCACTTCATGCACATACACGTCAGCACTAACCACGGTGCACACTTTAAATACGTGCGGTTTACTGTATGTCAAGTATCCCTTGGTGAGGCTACTAAAAATATTAATGGGGGAGCCTGGCTGGCTGGCTGAGCTTGTGACTTCTGATCTCAGTGTTGTGAGTTCGAGCCCCACATTGGGTGTAGAGGTTACTTAAAAATAAAATCTTGAAGAAAACCATATGAATGGGCTCTACATTTTAGAGATTCTGGCCGAACTATTAGTTCATCTTCAATATTAATTATACTTTGGCAAAAATACTTTAAAACTTTATTTTTAAAGTTGTACCAAGGAAACCAACAGGTATCAACATCAGCTCGCTGAAGAACAGCGTTGTATACGCTAAGAAAAAGGACAAAGTGAAAATGAAGAATTACCATTCAGTAAAGGAAACCAAATCTGACATAATTCTCAACGGTGGGGAAAACCACTCGGAGTCAATTTGGTGTTTGCCAGTCACCTCTGCCCCGCACGCTGCTGTGGCTTCCAGCAGCCGAGTCGAGTTCAGAAACTTGAACAGTCGAGTTCAGGTGATCTCCAAGCTCCTCTACCAGCGGCCCGGACCCTCCGAGAGCCCGGGAGGAGGCAGGCGGCTTTCCGGGACCGCCATCTGAGGTCTCGGTGGCTGAGTTTCTGCACACCCCACCATCGACAATAAGCAGGGTGCTGCCTCCCTCCAGGGAGGGGCCTCGCAAGGGATCTGCTGTCTCAGATTCACTTCCTGTGAGCTCCCCTTGTTCTGAGTCCGAGCCCTCAGTCTCAGAGGACGTGGTGCTGTCTGCTTCCTCGGAATCACTTGCCTCAGGACTGGAGCAAGGGGTCTGCTGCCTGGAAATGGAACGGGCTGCTTCTCCTGCCATTTCCTCCTCCTGCACAAGAAGAGCTGCGGCTTCCAGCACTTCCAGGTCTAGTCCCAGCTGGGCCTTTGTCAGCGACACTTCCTTTAAGGCTTCTGCAAGAGCTGCCAACTTTTTGGACCTTGAAAGCCATTTGAAGAAGAAATATTAGGACTATTCATTAATTGGCCCAGGAACAACAAAATAAAGTTGGAGCCATACTTCATGTGACACACCAAGATAAATCCCAAAACAGATCAAAGAGATAAATGTAAAAAAAAAAAAAAAATGAAGCAAATAAAGTATTACAAGGAAATGGAGGAGATCCCCTTTATGCCTCTAGAATGAGGAAGCCCTTTCTAACTATGACTTAAAATCCAGAAGCCACAGGGCACCTGGGTGGCTCAGTCAGTTAAGTGCCTGCCTTCGGCTCAGGTCATGATCCCAGGGTCCTGGGATCAAGCCCTGCATCGGGCTCCCTGCTCAGCAGGCAGCCTGCTTCTCCCTCTCCTTCTGCCACTCCCTCTGCTTGTGCTGTCTTTCTCTGTCAAATAAATAAATAAAATTAAAAAAAAAATCCAGAAGCCACAAAGATTGACAAATTTAATTAAAAAAAAAAAAAAACAACTTCTATAAGACAACAACAAAAACCAACAAAACATAAAGTCAAAAGGCTAAAGCAAAGTTGAGAAAAATATTGGCAACTCAACTCATGTCACAGAGCAAGGCCTAATCTCCCCAACAGAGTTCTTAAAAATGGATATAACAATTCATCAGAAAAATGGACAAAAGACATAAGGAGACAATTCCCACAAAAGGAAATACAAATGCCTCTTAAACATATGAAAAGATGTTCAACTCCAGTCAAATAAGAGAAGTACAAACTAAAGTCACTCTGAGATACATTTTTCATTTATCACAGTGGCAAAAATCCAAACATTAGATAGCACGACTAGTAAGGCTGTGGGGGAAACGGCACCTCCTTACACTGCTGGTAAGAAATTAAACAGGTCTGACCCCTTGTGAAGGAGAAGTTGGCAATAACTTACAAAATTGAAAATGTACATACCCTTGACCCAGCAATACCACATCTGGAAATTAAACACATATGCTACAGGACAGAAGCCCAAGGTTATTAATCCAGCATTGTTTTTAATACTCCAAAATGGGAAACAACCAAATGCCCCTGATTATGGGACTAGTTAAATAAGTTACGGACACTCCACGCAAAGGAAGGGCCCAGGGTTGCCTAAGAACGAGGCTGTTCATGGGCTAAGCCAGATAAACCATTTCACAGCAACAACAAGAGGCATGCCATAAGTACAGGCTATCTTTTATGTTAAAAAATGAGAAAGAAATATAAACACATCTGTTTGCTTGTATACTTATCAATAAACCTGGAAAGCTATAGAAAATACTAGCTTATATGGGGGAAGAGTGGGGACTGGAAAGCTGGAGGAGAATGGTGAGAGGGAGGCTTTTCACTATAAATTATTTTGAAACCTCTGTGAATGTTAATACCTATTCAAAAATTTTAAATATACAAAAAAATAAAATGCAGTACTATACAGAGCAGCATGAAGTGCTTTTTATTTTTATCAGAACACCATTTCATGTTACGTCAGAGGGTATTTTTCTAAATTTGTAATGTTACATTATACTAAACTTCTTAATTAACTTGGATGAATTAGTTATTTTCCTTTTGTTATGAAAGAAGCAACGAAAAGTATACCGTAGGTGTCTAAAAACCCTGTCTTTACTCTCCCCAAGAGGAAAATCGGAAGTGACAACGGAAATGGGTGGCAGTGAGTTAAAGTGGTCAGCATGCTGACATGGCTTCTGTGTGTCTCTAAGTTCAAAGGTGAAATGAGCATACAGAACATTTAGTGGCTTTGAGGCACACTGGAGGAGGGTGAGTTCACAAGATAAGGTCACTTCTGAAAGAGTAGTCCATCCCATAATATTGAGAAAATGAAGCCTCGTTACACTGGAGCTGAAATAACTGGTGGGACAATGGGAACGAGTGAACAAAGGTGGTATTTTTCACCTCAGTGCCTAGATGAGCCCTTTGGTCTCAGAATATGTGGCGTAATAATGACTTTGTGCAGGGAAGCTCCGTCCCCACTGCGGCCCCTCCACGAGTGCAGTCAGGGCCCCGAAGCTGCACTGCAGTCAGCGTTCGAGGGCGGGTGCACGGTGCAGCGAGCGGGGGGGATGGCCACGGGCAACAGCCCTCACTGAGGGCAACTTTCTCATATGCAACGAAACCCCCCAGCGTCAGTGCTGGAATTCCCAGAGCTTAGAAAAAAGAAGGTGGATAGGGTAAAGAGAAAAACTAGGGTAAGATGAGCTGAAGTCAGCTTTTGATTCACCAAAGGGTTATAAACTCTGGATGCTCTCACCAGCTTGAGACACCTTGAGGAGCACAGTTATGGAGTAAGATGGTTACATCCATGTCCAAGGTGGGTGTCAATGGTGTCCACCCACCATGTATTTTGAAACCTTGATGACCACTGGTAAAGAATTTGGTCTGAGGAGCACCTGGGTGGCTCAGTTGTTAAGAGTCTGCCTTCGGCTCAGGTCATGATCCCAGGGTCCTGGGATGAGCCCCGCATCGGGCTCCCTGCTCAGTAGGGAGCCTGCTTCTCCGTCTCCCTCTATCTGCAGCTCCCCCTGCTTGTGTTCCCTCTCTCACTGTCTCTCTCTGTGAAATAAATAAATAAAATCTTTAAAAAAAAAAAAAAAAGAATTTGGTCTGAGTTAGTGGACCAGTCTGAAACATCTCTGCGCTAAGGCCCTGTCAGCCCAGGAGCTAGTTCACTGCCATCTTTTTTGCTGAAGCAGGTCCTCTCGGGGTAGTAACCTGCAGCTTTAAGAGATAAAAAGCAAGGAATCTGGGAAATAAGACCATGCCTCTTACTAAATCATAATATTGGAAACAAAATTTTAAAATAAAAGCTCTTACTTCAGTGACCCTTACATCTCATTCTTACTAGCCACAACAAATACTTCTGACAATATATGAAAGATGATGTTCCACAAACACTTGCTCCAAACGACAACCTCACGGGTCAGTTTCATCTCTGTCCACATTACAGATGACACAGCAGAAGCCTGGAGGGGTAAGAGATCTGATGAAGTCTACCCAGCTAACAAGGCACAGTCAAGACCGGAAACCCACGCCTTAGAGCTCTAGTGTGCTCCCTCCTCCGCCACAGGGCCTCCCACAAATATCCAGGCTCTGAAAAGCTTCCCGTCCTAAGACCACATTCTTCACTTCTCCCCATTTGGAGCCCTATTCAACATCTTCCACATGAGCAAGTTCTGACAGGCACAAGCACAGAAGTCTGCAAACACTGATGGCTTTAGCTTAGCAAGCTTCAATGAAGTGCACGTCTGAGCCTGAAAGACAGAGGCTTAGAACTGGAAGAAAACATCTGGATTATTTTTGTGGATACAGCGAAGAGAGTAGATGTGTCAACTCTCAAGGTGAAACTATCTGGATCTTTGTTATTGTCTGCTATACTGTATCTGTCGTGTATAACAGAATAAATCTGGATTTCAAAGCCTCTCCCCTGTAATCCTGGCTCTTTTCAGACCCGGCATACCCCACGTATGGGAGACTAGAAAGGATCCACTCTGGCAGGCAGGGAAGTAGCCCAGATGAGCCATGTGACCCTAACAGGACTGGTGCCTGTTACCAGGTAACGTGCATTTTCATCCTTCAGTTTGTTTCTCACTTTAACTGCTGTATTACATTTAAAGTGACCCATTTATATAAAATATGTAAAAAAAAAAAAAAAAATCGAGGCACCTCGGTGGCACAGTCAGTTAAGCATCCAACTCTTATTTTCAGCTCACGTCATGATCTCTGGGTCATGAAATCGAGCCCCACGTTGGGCTCCACGCTCAGCATGGAGTCTGCTCGAGATACTCTCTCTCCCTCTGCCCCTCCCACTCATGCTCTTTCTCTCTGAAATAAATACATCTTTTAAAAAAAAATTATGTAAAAAAAGAATTCTATGTTCATTTATGATTCTTCACCATGCTGACTCATCTCTATTTCTTATTAATCCCACTTTTACTACTACCTCAAGCTGGCTAGTTTCCTAAATTATTAAAGTTGTGATAGAAACCTTAAGTTTATGGAAGAAGCATTCTGAATTCTACACTTAAAGAATGCTAGAATAAAAAGGAATTAAAAATTTCAAAACATCATTGATGTAGAATGTGACCTAATGGTCCAAGGAATGAAAGTTGGGTTTGTTTCTATTCAACTATTTCACACAGATTACTTAGCAATCATTGTTTGCAATAAAAAAAAAAAAAAAAAAATTCTTCATTTGGAGAAAAAAAAATTAAGTCATGAAAGAGGAGCTTTTTGTTCTTTCAGCTACTGGTACAATTAGAGTTGGTTCTAAATCTGCCACTCCTTGTAAATTCTAGAACCTAACTCTGCAATGGCCCTTTCCATTTCAGAAAGCACCTCATTTAATGTAGTTAGTGGTTTTTCACTGTTACACTCAAAACAGACCAGCTAGTTCATGTCAAAGCTTTGTCGAGTGACATTATTAGTTAACCAGAAGGCTTACAAAAACCAGGTACATTCAGATATAAAGTAATGAATACACTGAGTTACTAGTTGTACTTATGGTATATATTTTATATCTAAGTCAAGAGCACCTACTTGTTAAGAATGTATGCAATCAGGAGTGAAGAGATTCATCCTTTAAAAAAAGAGACATGACAAGTGGATCACAGTAATGTCATATTTTAAAAAGATACTCAAAACAGGTTTTCCTTAGAAAGTTTTTGGAAATGTAATCCTACCATGTAACTTTTAAAAAAGTTTTTATTCTGTTTGTGTATGTGAAATAATAACCTATTTGGAGGATTTTTTAAAAATTAAAAACGGCTCTCTGACAAGTTCCAGTAAATACAACTACCAGGAAAGAGTAATAGTAACAGCTGGGAATACGTGCCTTTATCATGGCTAAGCTAACAGAAAATCTCCTCCGTTATTTTATATTTTGATGATTGAATTAAAGGGTGAGGGACTGCATAGCCTATGAAAGAGCCAAAACCATGTGCAAAAGGAGCCCTAAAATGTAGGAAAACCTGGGTATAAATAGAAAGCACACA